TAAAGCCTGGCAGGGAGAAAGGGAACATATAAAATTCAGTTTCAAAAAGAAAAAGAGGATAAAAAAAGCTACAAGTGGCAAATGTTGTATTATGATGGCACTTACATGAGGTACCCAGGGCTGTCAAATTCATGGAGATAGAAAGTGGGACAGGGCTGAGGGGCCTCCCGGGGGGTGGGCGGACCAGGGAAGTCATGCCTGAAGGGTAATAAACTCTAGTCCAAACTGGAAAAAAGGAAGATTCTGGAGACAGATGGTGGTGCCGGTTACACGATGTGAAAGGATACACAACCCACACACTTGAGCTGGCTGAAATGGTAAATCTTAGGCTGGGAATGTAGGTCAGCGGTGGAACACATGCCTATAGCATTATGAGATGCCTTGGATTCAATCCCCAGGTTCATAGGAAATAAAAAGCTGAATTTTGCATTTTGTCACAATTTGAAATAATGAAAAACTGACCAGAAAGCATTCACGTCTGACTTAGCTATCAGAAAAGAATATTTCAAACATCATTCAAGTATTTTACATGGCCCTTTGCAAGCTACTTCAAGATACGGCAAACGCCAGGGTACCAGACCTATTCTGACCACAAACTTCAGAAGGGGATTTCCTTGGCATTTTTTTCCATCTGGAAACCTGATCTCTGGAGAACTGGGAGCTCAATTCATTGCAGGTGCATTATGGGACAACCAACTCCAAGTACCTGGCCTCCAGAGAGCCACCCACAGGCCATCTCACAAGTGGAGAACTTTTTTTTTTTTTCTTTTCTTTCAGTGACCTACTTAAAAGCCCAGGGCCTGGACTTTAAGGAAATGATGGTTTTGTCCAAATGAGTACAACTTCCTCTCTCACCTTCAACTGCAGCTCAGCAAAGGCCAACCTCTCCCCTGCCATTTGGCTCACTCTGTACACAGGCACGTAGAACCCTAACCCTGCAACTGCACTTGCAGCGTGCCCTGCAGCGTGTGCATTTGAGCCTCACAGAATGGCATGGAGTGGATGATGCATTCACTTTACAGGCGAGGGAGACGAAGCTTAGAGAAACTGCTACAATGCCAACGTTGCTGCAAAGCGTAGCAAGGATTCTCCATGTTCTGAGCTCCTCTTCCTTCTCCTGACCAAGAAGCTCTATTTAAGCTGATTCTCCTGATTCATTTTCAAATTCTTTCTGAGGAGAGTCTAAGACACTTTCTACCCTCTGTGTGTGTATGTGTGTGTGTGCATATGTGCACACATGAGTGAGTTTGTATGTGTGTGGTGGGGTGCTAGGGATCAAACTGCAAGGCCTCAGAGGTGGCAGGCAAACTGCTCTACTGCACAGCTACAACCCAGTTCACACACTTTCAACTCAAATATCCCAACAATCAATGGGGAGGGGGAAGCGCCAACGCAGCCTGCCACCTCTCATAACCTGTGAGAGGACCACTGAAGATCCCCCACACAGAACTGCCAGGAAGAACTTACTGCATCAACAATCTCAGCCATGACCCAGCAAAATGATGGGAGATGCCAGCTCGGACTGGCGAAGAGAAATCCTTCACGGATTTCTAAGCCACAGACGTGAAGGAGTGTCCAGGGAGAAACAGCCACAGCTGGGAGATGCAGGCCTTTTAACTTGACTCTCCCAGCAAGCCTCTTATCATTCCAGTATATTGTTGTTCCAGGGCAGGGCCTGGCCTGGAATACTTTGCATATTTGTCAGGAGGTTGAGAGGATTATTTGTATTTTTCTTCCCTGACAGTCACGTGGTAAACGCGGTTGCCTTGGTGATGAAAGGTGTCTGGCTTTTGTAATATTACTTGTAGGCACCTGAAAAGGAGAAGTGGCTGAAAGGTGAATGTGAAACTCAGTTGACCACAGCAGGGGCTGCAGGCAGTAAGGCCACTCAGGGAGAAGGGCTTGGGGGCAAGTGTTCCTCCACTAGTCTTCTGAGGTATGCAAACACATCCAAGACCTTCACAGCGCATGCATGCCACCTGACCACTCCTGGCAGCAGGCTTGCGTTGGTTACCTGGGCCAAAGCGCTTATTTTAAGCAAACTCCTAGCCAAGCCCAGAAGGCTCCCCACCAATTATTACCCGCCACTCAAGCCCTGGAGTGGACTGGCTTTGGAAACTTCCAGCACCACATGTGAGCAGGAACTTCACCAACTCTTCTTGCCGCTGATTTTCATAAGCAAACCTGAAGTCAGTCAGCAGGTGACCCAGGAAGTTCCAGGGCTCCTTTTAGGGGCGTGAAAAGCAGAGTCACGGGTAGCAAGCATCCCAGCAAACGCCATCTAGAATGTTCCGACTACAGCAAGGAAAGAAAAGGAATGCTTCTGCCAATACACTCCTGTTAAAAGGCTGGGCCACTGAGAGATGCTTGGCATCATTCTAACCAGACGCCACAGTGAAATCGCCTGGCAGTAGACAAGATGTTTTCTTTTTTTAAAAAAATTCTTTATGTACATTACATCCTGACCACAGTTTTGCCTACCTCCACTCCTCCAGCAGCCCTCCCCACCTTTCCTCTCCCCTAGATTCACCCCTCAATTTCCAGAGAGAGAGAGAGTGAGCGCTTGCAGGCATCCCAGGGATTTCAACTGAACACGGCATAACAAATTACAGTAAGACTAGGCACAAACCCTCATATCAAGGCTGGATGAGGCAACCCAATAGGAGGAAGAGGGTCCTAAGCATAGGTAAAAGTCAGAGATCACACACACACACACACACACACACACACACACACACACACAGTTAGAAGTCCCACAAGACCACCAAGCATCACAACCAGAAACCATAGCATAGAGGCAGAGGACCTACCTCAGGCCCATGCAGGCTCCCTGACTATTGATTCAGTCTCCGTGAGTCCCCTAGGAGCCCTGCTTGGTTGATTCTGCAGGTTGTGTACTTGTGGGCAGACGAGATATTCTAAAGAGACACTTGTGTCCCAAGTATTAAAATTTCCTCAGGAGTCTCATACCGAGGAAAGGAAAAGAAGGAAGCCTGGTGCCGGCTAGAGGAGGAAACACTCTCCCAGGAAGAGATGTCACTCGGTTCTGGCAACTTTTCATATGACTATGTAACAGGGTACACTGGAACCAGGTAACGCTGTTGGATGCTGGGGAGGGGGTGCCACACCACAACAGAACTGCTTAGTTATGCATACTGTTTGCCCTGTATTTATACCCACCTCAAGTCAGAGGGCTAGACCGCTTCCCACTGTGGCCATAAACCCCCCTTTCCCGCTTTTCAGTATTACTTGTCTCTTTAGTGGCACCCTGGGGTCGGTGGCAAGCCTTTGATCTGCCAGAGCCCAGGCTTTGAGCCTGAAAAACCCATTAACAAAGTTCACGAATGACTCACCCGCTGGAATCCCAAATTGGATTATGGCTGTGGGCTTTAACATTACTATCAACACCATTTTTTTGGGGGTGTTTTTTTTAATTCACTTACTTCCTGTCCCCCCAGAGAAGCAGTTAATAAATAATCTCTGATCCAGCATGGCCACGCAGCTGCAGCCGCAGTGTAGATGTTCCGGCATTACCTTTCACATAGAGCTGGAAAGCGTCCGTTATCTTTCGATCAGGGTTGGGCTCAGTTTTCTGTTCAAAGGGCAGAGTGCAGCAGGAAAGCCATAATCCCATGCAACAAGTTTATTTCTAAGGCCACGATATGAAAAATCTTTCACCTATCAAAAAGTAAAATCCTAAAATCTTGTGTATATGAGGCAAGGGTCCCTCTATCTATCTATCTATCTATCTATCTATCTATCTATCTATCTATCTATCTATCTATCTATCTATCTTGGTTTTTCGAGACAGGGTTTCTCTGTGTAGCTTTGCGCCTTTCCTGGATCTCGCTCTGTAGACCAGGCTGGCCTCGAACTCACAGAGATCCACCTGCCTCTGCCTCCCGAGTGCTGGGATCAAAGGCGTGCGCCACCACCGCCCGGCTCTAGGTAATATTTTTAAGTAACAACCGGTACAGTATAAAAATTCTGATCGCATGAGATACCAGCGAACAAGAAGCTTGGTTCCTTACGTGTGTTGTCCTTTCCCCATGCTCTCCTAGAAACAACGACCAGTTCTGTATTCTCCCACGTGAAAAATAATCTACCTCGTGGTGTTTATGTAGGGGTTCTTTTTTTGGGGTTGGATGGATGAGGGCTCCAAGATAATATAACAGCTAAAAATATATAAAATACTGTTTATGTTTCCTAGATCTAAACAGTGGTGTCTTAAGGAAATAAACAATCACATTTATAATCCTAGCTAGCACTCGGGAGATGGAGGCAGGGGGATCATGAGAGACTGACCTGGGGTACTCAGTGAGACAAATCCTGTTCTGGTTGGGGACAGGGAGAAGGAAGAAGGGAGGATGAATTAGGGGATGCTGAGGAAGACAGGATCTTCCTCCGGAGATGAGGGAAAAGATGAGCTCTCCCATCACATCTCTGCAGGCGTAAAGCTCACACTGGTGGGTCAAGTGCCAGGAGCGCCTCAGAAACATTCTGTGGCTGGAGCGAACACGCCTTTCCCGTCCCAGAAGGGGGGCACCTGTAGAGACATCGTGGTCTTCAAGATCCCACGCAATCGTATTTAGACGCTGTGCACCGCGGTTACTCGGGGAAGGGACCCACGGCTTGACTCTAGCTGGGGAGAAGGGTCGGCACCAAACACCGCAAAGCATTGGTTGAACCGCGACAAGGACTGCCTGCGTTCTATTTCTTTAAAAAATTTTTTTTTGAAAATTACATTTATTTGTTTCTTCTTTATGTGTGCGTGCACACACTGTTTGCAGGGGAGCAGTCATGCCATGGCGGGCACACCTTGGAGGAGTCGGTCAGGAGTGGCTCCTGGGTACGGCAGTAAGTCCTTTCACTCACTGAATCTCGCCGCCGGTCCTGCTGCCGATTTCTAACTTTAAGCATCGGGAAAACTGCTGGACGCTCCCTCACTGTGAAGCATGCAAAAATATTCCACATAAAAAGACACTTCTACTGTGCTCACTCCAGCAGCACAGATACTGGAAGGAAAAAAAAAAAAAGGAACGCTACAGAGAAGATTAGCATGGCCCCTGCGCAAGGATGACACACAAATTTATGAAGCGTTCCACATTTAAAAAAAAAAAAAAAAAAAAGACACTCCTACTGAAGTACAAATTCATCACAAACAGGACTCTCAACTAACTTAAGCACAAATTGTCATCCCCATGGAAACCCAGCATAAAACCCCTGAGGGCTATGGCTCCTCCGGGAGGAAGGAGGAAGAGAACAGCACCCTAAGGGTGTTTGGAAGCAGGACACAGTCTTTTCCTAGACGGAGATGTCTTATGAAGCCGCTCAGGAACTGTCTTCCCCAGGGATTATAAATAGGGCAGAATGCCACACTGTGGGCTGCTGAGATTCAAAACCTCTCTGCCCTGGATAGCATGGCAGTGGTGTGGAGCAACAGAGACGGAGATGTTTATGACCTGTAACACGTTGGCAGTGTGTACTCTACAGCAGCTATGCAGTTGAGCAAGTTTTGTCGTGGAATGAGGTGGGCAGATGTCAACAGGGTCTAACTTTGATCACAGAGTTACCCATTGGCTAACCTTCCACTCCTGAGCCCTTCCTGCTGCCCACTGTCAGTCACTGGGAGAACGAGTCCGCCCTTGAGAGCAGGGGATGGATGGCTCCTGCTGATGTTTGAACACCACCTCTAAAACAGCCATTTTAGTAGCACTGAAAAGCTAGTTATCAGGAGCCACCAAACTTAGTCCCGAGAGCTGGTAAGTGACATGAAGAAGAAAACCCAGGAAAGGCGGGTGAAGAAGGATTTGGAGGCCAGTGAGATGGCTTAGCAGATAAGGGACTTGCAGCTGGCCCAGATGACCAGAGTTAGGTCCCTGGGATTCATGTGGGAGGAGAGAAGCAGACTCAAGCTGTCCTCTGAACATCATATGATGTGCACTGCAACACACACACACACAGAGAGAGAGAGAGAGAGAGAGAGAGAGAGAGAGAGAGAGAGAGAGAGAGAGAGAAAGGAAATGTAAAAAAATGCTTTGGGTTCTTTCTTATATGATGTCTGATCTTTAGAAATTCTCATAGAAAGTGATCAACACAACAGGGTATGGTGGAGTTCACTTGGAATCCAGCACTCTGACTTGAGGCAGGAGGATTTGGGATTTGAGAGAGTATTGGCTAGCCTGAGCTACATAGCAAGATCCTGTTGTCTCAAAAATGAACAAAAGCAAAAACAAAATCACCTGCTCACACACATACAAAAGTAAGACATGTTACAAGAAAAAGAAAAATCAGTATGCCTTTAAAAGTGCACTCAAGGGGCTGGAGAGATGGCTCAGAGGTTAAGAGCACTGGCTGCTCTTCCAGAGGTCCTGAGTTCAATTCCCAGCAACCACATGGTGGCTCACAACCATCTGTAATGAGATCTGGTGCTCTCTTCTGGCATGCAGTCATACATGCTGTATACATAATAAATAAATAAATCTTAAAAAAAAAAGTGCACTCAAGCCCATGCTAATCCAATGACTACAGTTTCATATATCTCCTCTACGTTTCTTTTCCTGTATAGTTAGCGGCTTCAAACTGAGAGATTTGCAACTTGCCTAACCCTTCTCTGGTTCCAGGTCCCCCTTAGAGACAAGGCTGAGGGGTACCTGCCTGCCTCGGAAGGATGTCATAAAGTTTAGATGATTTAATACATGTAAAGTATCTAGAACAAGACCTGCTGTGGGTTGCAGCTATAATTACTACTTAGCCAGAATCAGAATGCACAGGCAATTTTATTTGTAGCATATGGCACACGCCTTACAATCTTCATATCCCCAATTCTGATGGCTACATGACATCCCACCACCTGAGTAGCCTACAGTTGACCCAGTCACAAGGTTCCTGACACAGAAATGGAGAAGATGAACAGTTCTAACCATGTTACCAAATACTCAAACATGCCTATCTAACGTAAGTATCAATGGACTTGCATGTGAAGATGTAGGAAAACATTCACCTACACAATTGGTGTTATATAATGTCCAAAAGGGTGTTTTTTTTTTTTTTTTAAATGGAAGAACTTAAAATATCATGATCAAAGTCTAAGTTCTGGAACTTGTTGGGGAATGTAAAGATCATCACCGAGGGCTTTAGGACTTTTATCCCAGTGGGTGGATGGGAACCAGAGGCTCCTAAGATTAGCAATGCCACTGGGCACGACAGTCGGTTTCAGCATATGGATCGGGGTGTTTCTATGCAGACAACAATAATTCAAGCACCCTTATTAAAATATTTTCTAAGAATTAGAAAATTTAACTCAGTCAGGTGGCCATGGCATATGCCTTTAATCCCAGCACTTTGGAGGCAGAGGCAGGAGGATCTCCTAGTTTGAGGCCAGCCTGGTCTACATAGCCAATTCAAGGACAGCCAGGGCTGCACAGAGAGACCCTGTCTCGAAGAAGAAAAAGAAAGGAAGGAAAGAAGGAAGGAAGGGAGGGAGGGAGGGAGGGAGGGAGGAAGGGAGGAAGGGAGGAAGGGAGGGAAAGAAGGAAATTTAACTCATTTTTCAACATGGAAGCCTATCATCCCTAACATTATCTCCTTACAAAGTTGATCGTATTTAAGAAAGCCACAAATGGTACTACTGTGTAAGACCTGGGATCTCAGCTCTTGCCTAGCTATAACTGCCACTGATGTTATCCTGTTTGGCCTGCCAAAGGAATTAATTTATCACGACAGTGACATCTCTCACCAAAAGAGAATTTGGGGATGGGAAAGGAAAGCCCATAGTCTGATGCTTCCCCCAGGCCTTGGCCAAGACAAAGAAAACAAACCTCAGCGACCAACATCAAAGAACACTCAGTCCACTCCTTACCCTGTCAACAGATGAACTACTCCCCCCCAAGAGCTCCTGGCAAGGGAGCAGAGAACCTGTGATTTATCTCGTAATCACCGTAAGTTCAAAGCAGGAAGAAAACATACCCAAAGAATCTTATTTTAAAATCGCATCTTAATAACACATGATTAGTAAAAGTGAAAAGTTCCATGTTGGTGAACGGCGGGGTCACGTTCACTGACCATGAGGGACCGGTGCTCTGAGAGAGCACAGCCCTGAATAAATACCCCAGGACTCAGCCTGCTGGGGCTGCCCTTCAAATCAGACATTCTTGGTGATAACAAGAGGCCTTTTTAGGGCAGGCTTCCTGGAAGCTCAAATTCTTCGGGAGGTTAGCTACGTCCTTGGTCATAGAAGGGCACTAAAAAAATGAAGTGTGTGGTCACCACATCTCCAGCAATCCGTCTCCGGTGCCGCCTGTACCCGCCTTCCACTCGGGTAGCTCAAAGGCCAGCATTCAGGGAAGGTCATTTACAGCCGCCTTTCTTCTTTCCGAGGCACATTCCTCATGTCCCCCAGGGAGACCCTGGACGCTCAGACCCTCGGTTTTTCTTTACCAGATTATCAACGTATCCCTTCAGGAAAAGAGGCTCTCCTGGCCAGGTGTGAAGGTACACTCCTCTAATTCCAGTACCCAGGAGGCAGAAGAAGCTGGAGGCTGGTGGGTTCCACTAGACTGGACCACTTGTTTCAAACCAACCAACCAACCAACCAACCAACCAACCAACCAACCAACCAATCAGCCAAACAAATCAAAACCTTGAATGCAAACTATCATTACCATGCAGGAATCCCAGCTATTCACGCAGTAAGCCACTCACTGACTCTCAACAATGACCAAGTCCCTGATCACACAATAAACAAGACAAGAGTGGTCAGGTGAAAGCAGACACCTCAGGCATGGTTTCTTGAGGGCATGACCTCTGTCTGACTCAGGGCACACCTTGTGGGGACAAAGACCCGCTTGCCAGTACAAGGCTTGGATGTTACAGTTTTGCTGGAGTCAAAGGCCCTGAGGTTGAGGCCTGCGCTAGATCCAGAACCAAAGGGCATGCTGGGAACTGCTTTAAGATGAAAAGATCAAATGGTCTCCTATCACTCTCTCTTCCACCCCAGTCCTCAGCACCCTCATTCTTCGGGGCTAACCCAGAGCTGGCTGTCCCTCCTAGAGGAGACAGGGAGAAGCAGCATTTCCCAGGACAGAATGTTTTAATGGATAGCTGAGCGGCTACATGTTGGAGCTGATGGCGTTTTAATGAGTACACGTACTGCTTATAATATAATTATTACATTTCAAAGTTAACAACTACCATTCAAATGACCTATCAGATACTAACAAAACTCTTCCTTGGAGGGTAGCTATAGAAACACTATAAAGGTCTTTGGATAGAAGGGAACTTAGCAAGATGGAGAGACCCAAGTCTTTCCAACACTGAGTCTTATTTTCTGTACAGGGCTCCTCTCTCCATTGTCTTGTGATATTAGGTTTTCCTTGAAACTGTGACATCATCGACTTCGCAGAGCACACCAATGAGGTTACACCAGCCACACAATTAACCAATCGAGTCCCTGGCCAGCACTGAAACAATCGGCCTCTGTAGACATCCACATCCACACCCTGCTTTCAATGGCATGCCCGAGTCATTCCTTTCGACAGAGGACACAACTCACAAGTGGCACTGCCCAAAGTTGTCTTTGTCATGGTGACCTCATCCTGGTATCAGGGTGATTGCTGGGGTAAGAAAGCAGAACTATTTCCTGGTTCACTTTCAACACGTAGCTCCCTTTATTTACTTGTTTAATCTTATCACCCACCCTCACCCCCCCCCCTACCAGAAGCAGAGCAATTAAACCTATAAAACATTTCTGAAAGGACCCACTACTTCAATTATTGCGACAGCCTCCCATTTCATCTTTGGGATTCCAGACTGGGCTATGTTCAAATTGGCCCACACCATCCTGCATTTAACTCTTGGTGGCTTCCTATTCCTTTCTCTTTGAGTCTTACCCTATACACAATCAATCCTCCAGCTTCCTAGGTACCCCTGCCTCAGGACCTTTGTACAGCACTCCCTTGGATTCCTCTTTATTCTTCAGATATCTGTCTCAGAGGCCATCTTATTCATTAATATTCATAGCTGGGGCTGTAGCTCAGTAAGTAGTACAGCACATGCCCAGCATGCATAAAGCCCTGAGTTTAATCCCCAGCACCAAAGGCTTACCTATTAT